GAAGAGAAGGTTGTGTGGAGACCTCAGAGCACCTTCCAGGAGCTGAAGGGGCTCCAGGGAAGCTGCAGAGAGATCTGTGTTAGGAGCTGCAGGGACAGGGCAAGGAGTAATGGGGAGAAATTGCAAGAGGGAAATTTAGGTTAGGTGTCAGGAAGAAGTTTATGCTGTTCTGGTGGTGAGACACTGTCCCAGGTTGCCCAGGGAGGCTGTGGCTGCCCCAACCCTGGCAGTGTTCACAGCCAGGTTGGATAAAGCCTTGAGCAACCTGCTCTGCTGGGAGGTGTCCCTGCCCAGGGCAGGGGTTGGGGCTGGATCATCTCTAAGCTCCATCCCAACCCCTGAACACACTGTGATTCCATGAAACATCTGCCTTATGTTTGCTGAGTTAACTTGGCTAACATCCGAGTGCAGTTTTGAACTGACATGGTGTGGAAAATAATGTCATTTAGTCTAACCTTTACCTTCTCTTTCTCCTTTGCAGATGAAACTCTGCCATGAGTAAGCGCAAGCTGAAGGAGAACTGTAGGGAGAGTGCTGAGCACGTGTCACAGGTCAGTGCCACCTTTGTGAATGGCTTTGGTTTCCAGGGGGAGAACTTTTCCATCTTTCTAATTCCATATGTTTTTACTAGGTCAGTTAAAAAGACTTGCGCAGATACTCGATGTAACTTTCAGGGCTGTAAATGTTTTTATGTGTTTGTTCTTTTCAGCTTCTCTCAAATTGCTTCAAGTCTGACAGTAATAATCTCCTTTTTAGAGTCTTAATAAAGCAGTTAAAAAATGGCCTTGTGCTTTCTCTTTTTGCTTGTTATCTAATTAGATCCTTTACCTTCCAGTTTGTAGAGCAAACCAGAATCCAGGTGACTTTTTTTTTTAGCAGCTGCCAAGTCAATTTTCAGTTTGTTTGCTTGTGCTTTAACCTGTTTTCTCCAAGTGGCTGCTTCAAAACTGTGGTAAAGAATTACCTCTGGGTCAGTGATTTCTTATATTTTTCTCTCTTTCCTTCATTTACCTGTAAAACAGGAGGAAAACCTTTTCACTTGCAGAAGAACAGTGATGACTGTTCAGATTATTGATTTCATTTCATTCCATCACTAATTCTGAATTAGCCAAGTGTTAGAAAAAGATGGAAGAGCAGTGACCCAGGTGTGCATGGTAATGATGTTATTAGATTTCATGGCAGCTGGACATAGACTGAAACATGCTCAAATGGGATTTTAGAGGAAAATCATTAACAGTTTGCAGTCGAATCTCTGAAATTGGTTGACAATGAGCACTGACACTGGATTCCCAGTGCTATAAAACACAGGTGTTTTGGGATGGGGAAGCAGTAGTAGAGAGTCCTGTAAATTCTGAAACATTGGGATTGCCCAATTTTCCTTCAGCTAATGAAGTAGCAGGAAGAAATTGCTGTGATGCTGAAGTTTGGCTGTTTGGGAATTGAAAATGGAATTTTAACTGGCAGTTTTTAACATGAAAACCAGAAATCAGCACAGACAGAGATCTAAGGGTATCCCAAGCAATACATCCAAATGAGTAGCTCAAGTCTCTGTATCCACTCTGCACTTTGAACTTCCAAAACTCAAGCTGGATAGACTTCATTTCATCCTCTGCAAGCAAGAGATCGGCTTCAGTTTCACACTTCTTCCAGACTCTGAGGAACAAGGTGTCTGAACTGAGTCTCTGAGAAAACTTTAAACTGATCCTCTCCAATGCTTGGCTGAAAGTTGTTGTGAGAGGAGCAAGAAGTGTATTCACTGAAGATCTGGGGGTTAACCAAGTGGGTCATGTTTGATTTCAGGCAGGTGGTAACTGTTTTAACATATCACACAGTAAGTCAGAGCTATGACTCAGGTGATGAACTACTGATGTAATTTTGGTGACAAAATGATATAATGTAATTGACCTTTCTCTTTTATGTGACATTTATACAATATTCTGCCTACTGCAACTTCATCCTTGTTTTCAACACCCCTGTTATAATTGATGGCATTTAAAATTTACAGGTCACAGAGTGTTTGTAACACTACAGGAATATATATATGTTCTACTATTATTTTATTGCCATGTTTACCTTGTGGGAACATTCTGGTGTTGGAAGCACTGAAGGTTTGTCTTGCTCTTGGTTCTATCCATAGGCACAGAAAATTCTGCGTGAAAGATTCTGTCCCCACTGTGCTACTGGAAAACTGTTTGCAATGGAGCAGCAGTACAGGTGGGTGAGCAGCTCACGTGCTAATTCCTTTCTGGGCTAGCTACAGAGGAAAAAAATCAGGTGGAGGCAGAACTTCCTGCTTCTTGTCTGAGTTACACAGACTGACTTGACCTGCAGCCTCAGATTTAAGGAGGTTTTATACTTTTTGGTTTTGTCTGGTTCTGAGTTTTGGATTCCCTTTCCTGGTTTCAAATCTCTAATTCCTGAAATACCTCTTTTTTTTTGAGATAATTTTGACACTTGTTCCAGAGCTTTGTGTAATGACCTGATTCTCACTCCCTTAGAAGTAATTTCATGGTGTCAGTATTCCAAGTGGAAAACCAAAGCATATAAATGATTTGTAAGCCATTGGAGATGTCAGTAGTTTCTGTAAGCACTTTAAATGTGGTACTAGGTGATGAGTCTGAAGATCTGAAGATGATTTTGAGTTGTTCTTTGTCCCTTTTGGTTGGCAGTAGAAAATGAAGTTCCGTGTTGTTACCATTCCCAAGCTTTGAGTGCCTAAATTTCCCACAGAATCAGCTTTATGGAGATTGTCAAAATTCATATATTCCACTAGATGATTCATTTTTCCTGCTGTCGAGGTTTTCCTTCAACATCTTTTCCAGCCTTCCTTTTTGGTGAGCTGTAGTGGTAGCACAGAAGAGAAAGGAATCATTGCACAGTGGAGAACTGCTGAGCTTGATGAATTAGTGATACTCTCAGCTCCTGCAAGGTTTAATATTTTAAAGTATTTGAAGAGCTCTGATCGCTCAGCCCTTTGGACTTTATTGCATGCCCTGAGAGCAAAGCTGAAATGTAGCAAGTTTCTCTTACTCCTTGGATTTTCCCTCCTTTCAGTGAATGTTGTCTGCTTTGGGGTTTGGTTTTTTTTTTTAACCTCTTGCTGTTTTCAACCCAGACATTTGCTGGAGCTGCTGAAGAGAACCATACTGCATGGAGAGAGTAATTCTGCCCTCATCATTGGACCACGAGGATCAGGGAAGACTGTGGTAGGAACGTGGGTTAGGAGTTCAGACAGGGCAGATTAAGCCTCACTGAAGTCCTGGGAGCTGCTGGAGCTGAAGGTCCATCCCTGCCTGGTTTGAAAGAGAGGGTTGGTCATGTCTTACATAGAAATCCAAAACATCCCAGGACTTACCGTGAGCTGATTCTGTTGAATAACAAGATGGAGAAATTGGGTTCCTAACAGTTGTCTTTGCAATTAAACCCATGTTTTGATTATTCTCTTATTAACCTGCTATTGCTGTTGAGCCCTCAGTGTAAAAATGCCTCCCAGATTCATGGGTTAATCAGTAAGCAACAAGCACTGTCATAGTGCAGGAAAGAGATTTTAGGTTTCTTGTTTGTAGAAAAGTGTAATGAGCTCTGTTCTGCAAGAAAATTGGAGCAAATGTGAGTTGCTGAGAAACTCACCAGAGAATTGTCCCTCAGAAACCACACTTGAGTCTTGAAAATACCAAAAAACATTGTTACCCAATGAACTGCAGTTTCTTACCTGATGATATCCCTCTGCACACTCTCCTTGCTGTTGTTACATTAACCTCCTCATAATGAAATTCTGTATTTTTTCCCCAGTTATTAAAACATGTCTTGAAAGACCTCCAGGAAATGAAACAAGTTAGAGAGAACCTCTTGGAAGTTCACCTGAATGGCAAGTCCTACAGCCTAATGCTATGTTGTGTTCAGTTCTGCATGTTGTATGTGTTGAACAAACACTTGGGTTTCACCAATTTAGTCCAGGCTAAATTATGGGCATGTTTGTCTGTGAGCTCCAAATTCTTTATGTGTCTTTGTAGGAAGAGAACTTTCTGTGCTGTTAGTAATCAAATTAAGTAACTTATTAGATGTGGAAGGTCCCTGCCTAGTCTAATTGATGAAAAGGCAAAGCTGTGCAAGGCTGGAAAGGGAGAGAAGCTTCTGGATAAGTCTAGTGGCTGTAGACAGGACCTCTCAAAGTGAAGAACTGCCAGTTCTTCACTGAAATCATCTTCTTCCAGGACTTCTGCAGACAAATGACAGAGTGGCCCTGAAGGAGATCACCAGGCAGCTGAAACTGGAAAACGTGGTTGGGGATAAAGTCTTTGTAAGTATCTTCACTTCTCTCCCTCACAACCCTTTGCCTGGAAAACTAGCTTTGGAGGATGGAGCTTGTGGAGACAGAATTGGTTGTGGTTGCCAGCAAACACCTGTGTTCTGCACAAGGGCTGGATGTTACTAGTTGGTCAGTATGACTGCATCCTGATAACTGTTCAAAGCACATCAATCTGTGTCTTACAGAGGGAGGAAGGATGGAAGGTCTCTCTTAACAAGCCTCTAAATGGAACAAACTTAAGCATTACAAGAGACTTTGTTCAGAAGGATGGAGCATTTTCTTTTTAACATTTCAGGACAAACAGTTAGCAAGTTAACCAACCAAAATGCAGAATCAAAGCCAAGTTGGATGAGCCTTGAGCAACCTGCTCTGGTGGGAGGTGTCCCTGCCCAGGGCAGGGGTTGGAAATGGATCATCTCTAAACTCCATTCCAACCCCTTAACATTCTATGGCTCTATGATCTTTAGTGTATTTTCAGCCTTTTCTAGTTCACACTGAAGCCTATCCAGGCCTCCCAGAGCTCTCATTTTGCATGGATTCTATTAAAACATTTGCTTCTACTGAGCTTTCCCCAAAGATTAGAAACTCACTTGGATCAGTGCTGAGGTCAATCACAAAGAGAGTGACCAAAGTGCTTCAGATTAAACACTGGAGTGTGACATAACTTGTGTCAGTGCTCTGAGCTCCCCCAAGTTGGTGCCTGTTACCCAGTGAGTGTTGTGGACTTGCAGGAATGTTTTCTCCATAAAAACTTTCCCTTTGTTACCTCTGTAACTCCCAGTCAGAGAGTAAATTGGCTTTTCTGCCACCTTTGACAGGGCCTGTGTTCCTGGAGTGCAGTTATTTCCCACCTCACACCCGGTGTGCTGCAGAGTGTGTAAGTGTGTGTGAGGATGTCACAGCAATTGCCTGTTCTGCCCTGAGTGTTTGATGCTTTGATCTGTCTAATAAAGTTGCAAATTAACACCTGCATCCTGCTCCCTGTCAGTGGAACACCTTAGGTGGCACTTCTTCCATGTGTGCAGCTGGAAAATGAGGAGGCAACAGCTATTTCAGGCAAGATGAAGCTACTTGGAAATTTAGCTTATTGCAGACATTTTTCTGATCACTAATTTTTGCCTGTCTGAGGCAGTTTGGGGATTTCAGGCTGGAAAAAAGGAGATGGATGCAGCCACTGGTGTAACCATCAGTTGTCCTGAGGAGGATGTGATTATGGAACATAAGTAGCACTGTACATTTCTGAGAGCAGAGTTTTGCACTTCCTTCATTACAGACCTGACCCTGCTGTAGTTAATTCTGAGAACAGCACTGAAAACCTATTGTGAAACTTCTTTTCTTCCCTCTGCAGGGCAGTTGAAAATCTTGTTTTTTTTTTGCTTGAAGCTTTAAGGAAAGGTAAACACTAATAATCCCTGTTGTAAAACTCTGTGTGTCACTTGACTGCAAAGTTAGCACATGTGATTTTTTTCCACCTACTTTACAAGTGGTGTGAGGAAACTTGGCCCAAGAATGTGTCGTGGGTACAAAATAATACCAGAACCAGATAATACTGAACCAACATGTACCTCGAGTCTCTTCCCCTGTAATCAGAGCTGCTGCTTGGCAGAGTACTGCAAAACCTTCCCAGCTCTTCACTGCATTTTCCTTTTTGCTCTGGGAAAGGAAAGCTTAGTTAAGAGCTGAAAGAAAATCTGGGAGGTTTTAAAACCATAATCAGTGAGAGCTGCAGAGATGAAACTGGTGCTGAAGTTGTCCTGCTAACCTTCCACAGGAAAGAGAACCACCAGCTGCCCAGTCCTGTTTGTACTGGATGAGTTTGACCTCTTTGTCCATCACAAGAATCAGACTCTTCTCTACAACCTCTTTGACATCTCCCAGTCAGCACAGACTCCAGTAACAATCATTGGACTCACCTGCAGGCAGGTAAGAAATTGCACTGGGAAGTTTTTAGCTGTTTTTAAAGTGACCTTTGTCTTAGTTGGAATGGTTTCTTCTCTCCTGGAACCTTCATTTCCTAAGAGACATTCCTCAGTTATCAATTTCTCTGACTTTTGAATTGGAAGAATAGAAGAATAACAATTTGTGCTGACAGCAAACTTTAAGTGACCAAAAAGCTGCAAACCCTTCAGTTTTCCTGCTAGAGAAGCAGGTTTGTATTTTTAGGAGACTGAGGTGTTTTCCTGGGCATTTCAGTTTCTTGATCAGCAGTTAGTAGGAACAGATTTACATTAACCTACAGAGCTGAAAAACAAGTCCTGGTTCTCAGGACAATGATTGAAACACTTCAGTTGGGCAACTTTCCTGCAATATTAGCCTGTTCAAAATGTGTTTAGGATCCATGTTAAATTTCCTGTGATTTATTTTATAAAGGCATTAGAGGGAATTGTGGACAGATGATGTATATACAATTTGTAACACAATGGAGACTTGTCCATCAAAGCTTGAATCCAGGGTTGGCTGGGTCAGGTGATCCTTGGCTGGGCAAATTCCTGGATCAGAACAGAATAATCAGTACTTCATTTAGTAAAAATCTTTCCCTTTGCCTCATCACTGCCCTGAGTCTGGCAGGGGCAGAACCCCTTCCTGCTCTGCCCCAGTGTAATTTGGGAAGTCTCCAGTGCTGCACCCACCTTGGAGGTGGTGAGAGCTCTTGCTTTTGAGCAGTTTTTTTGGCTTTTAAGCATTTTTGGGGTGTTTTTAAGCTGTATTCTTCCAGCGTGCCAGAAGTCACACAGCCTGGCAGCTGCCAACGGCACAGACAAGGTGTCCCGAGCCGTGATCGGCTGCAACATCCTGATTTGAGGCCTGAGCAGCTGAACTATTTCCCTAATCTGTGGAGTAACGTTGCTGGGTATCCTGGCAACTAATGATCTGGTGATGTGCAGTGTCACGTGGGTCGGGAAGTGCTGCTTAGGCTTTTCAAGGCACAGCAATTAAATCGGCAGCAAAGGTCTCCTTAGAGCATTCTGAGCCCGAGAAGTTAGTAATTCTTTCTTTTTTCGGCCTGGTTTTCTGTGGTGATTTGTCTTTGCTGTAGCAGAGAATGCACCGAATGCATCTGCTTTTTTTTAATTATTATTTTTCCTTCTATTTTTTTTTTGATCAAGGATATCCTGGAGCTGTTGGAGAAGAGAGTGAAATCAAGGTTCTCCCACCGACAGATCTACCTGCTGAATTCCTTTGATTTCAGGCAGTACATTAAGATCTTTAAGGAACAGCTTTCTCTTCCTGCTCAGTTTCCCTCTGAGGCTTTTGCACAAAAATGGAATCAGAATGTTCAGGTATTACAAGCTTTTTAGATTTGGTTTTAGTCAAAACTCTAAAGTAAGACCAGTTTATCAGTGTCAAGCTTTTACCTTAGTATTTCCTTTCACTGGTTGAGTTTGGTCTGGGATAAAATTATCACAGAGAAGTCTGGAGGTAAAACTGTCACAGAAAAGATCAGGAAGTTGAGGTTGGAAGTGAAGAACTGTATTGCCAAGTATAAGCTGAGTGTTTTCTGAGAGTTAACTCACTGGGGTTTGTCCAGGTGAGTATGAAATGACTTGCTGAGATGATTCAAATATCACTTTCTGGTTTTTTTAGCATCTCTCAGAGGACAAGGCTGTGAAGGATGTGCTGCAGAACCTTTTCCACTGCACCAAAGATCTGCACTCGCTGCGTATGCTCCTGGTATGGATTTGGAGATAGATATATCCAATATCTGCTTGAGTCACAGTAATTAATGAACACCTCTCAGGGTTTTCAGTTGTTTGAAATGTGATTTTAGTCAGCAGGCTTTGGGCAGGAAAGGCAAGGCTTGTGCTGCCTTGTATCACTTCCAGTTTCTCCTTATGCAGAGAGTCAGATAAAATCAGTTCATGAACTCTCTGGTTAAGCACCACTTGGTTTTCCAGAGGTTTCATACATGGAGCAGCTCAGGGAGCTCCAGTTTCCATCCTGAATTTGTCTGTTCCTGTGGCACTGACCCAGGAAATGTGATCTTCATCTTTTAAACCTTGAGATGCTGGAGGCTTGAGGCTTCTAATCCCTGGAAATACCAAGGCAGGAGCTAATTCTGATCTTCCAAATGACCGTGTTACCTGACAGAAAGGACCTGAGGAAGCTTCCAGAACTCTTCTTGGTGGCTTCAACTCTTCCCAGTTATCTTAGGGGGAGAAGGAAGAACTCACTGCATGAGGAGAAATGAGTGGTGCCTCCCTGTGCAGGCAGTAGGAGGAACTGCTGGTAATATACTTGGTCCCATCACCTCAGAGGAGCTAAGTTCCCTTGGAGGGTCTTCCTTGCTTCACCTTCCTCCCTCCCTGCTGTGCTTGAACAGAGCTGACATGAGAGCAGCAACACTCCTCACAGCAGACAACTAACACTTATTGACCTGTCTGAAAATATCTCTGTGTTCTCTGGGCGTGAAAAGCCCACAAACTGTACCTGGTGGTGTGCAGCCTTCAGATTTGAACCTCCAGCTCCATAGTGGGCTGTGCCAGGCTCCAGTGCTGACAGCTCTTCCCAGCAGTGTTAATAGCCACTTGGAGAACTAGATCACAGACTTCCTGCTCTAGTTCCAACACACACAGCGTGAGCAGTCCTCTTTTTTGGTAATCCTCTGGAGTTTGTTACAAGAGTCCAGATTATTTCTAGTCTGGGGCACCCAGTTCTGTCCCCATGGCAGGAAAAGAGCTGATGGCTACCAGGAACCTCCCTTGGAGCTGAGGCTCAGCTTCCCAATTGTTTTCTGCAGCATGGCCTGAATTTTGCCTGTGGAAAGAGACTCATCTAATACAGATTCTAGAAGGGATGAGGAGATTCTGGACAAACTCTGGAGAAGAGAAGCTCTAGGAAGTCCTTAGAGCTCCTTCCAGTGCCTAAAGGAGCTCCAAGAGAGCTGCAGAGGGACTTGGGACAAGGGATGGAGGGGATGGAGGGACAGGACACAGGGAATGGCTTCCCACTGCCAGAGGGCAGGGATGGATGGGATATTGGGAAGGAATTCCTGGCTGTGAGGTGCTGAGACACTGGCACAGGTTGTCCAGAGCAGCTGTGGCTGCTCCATCCCTGGGAGTGAATCTTCAGATTCTTGTGTGGCCTTTCCAGTGATGGAATGTGCTGCTCTGTGGACCGAAGGAGGTATAAAACAGTTCTAAGTCATTCTTAGAGATCCACTAAGATTAACACAAGTCCATCTCCAAGTAGAAACTGTCTGTGAGTGAGGAATGAAGCCCAGCACTGTGTCCTGCTCTGTTTCCAGATGTTGGCTGTGAGCACTGTGAGTGTGCAGCACCCTCTGATCACTGCAGCAGATCTTCAGGAGGCAAGCAAGCACCTCAGGATGGACTCCAAAGCAACTATTGTACATGGTAAAGCTCAGCTCCTTCCCCCAAAATACTCCTTAGGAGTGTGGAAAGTGTCAAGGCCCTCCCCGAAACTCTCCCGATGTCACAGACACTGTACAGACTATTCCCTGTGGGTGTGAGCTGCTCCATGGACTCTGCTCTCTCCATGTGTGTGTGGATAAATGCTGAGTTACATACTGAGATTTCCTGCTTGCTCATGGAAACAGCCCATTTATTAACAGTCTTGCTTCAAATCCATGGAAAACAAATGTTGTCTTATCAAGCCTCTCCAATTCTGGAATCTTTTACATAACACAAGTGGGTGAAGCCTCCAGCACACAGCACAGAGAGAGATAAATAAATAAAGACAGAACTGCCTGTGTTCCTGATGGAGCTCTTGTTTTTCCCTCCAGGTTTGTCTGTCCTGGAGATCTGCCTCATCATAGCTATGAAACACTTAAATGAGGTCTATGAAGGAGAACCATTTAACTTCCAGATGGTCTACAACGGTGAGAGAAATGCCTGAACTTCACAAACACACCAAGTCACTCATTTTCCCCTCACTAACCTACTTTTTCTCCTTGTTCCTGGTGCAGAATTCCAGAAGTTCATCCAGAGGAAGGCACACTGCATGTATAACTTTGAGAAGCCAGTTGTCATGAAGGTAAGCCTGAAACAGATGTCAAGTATTTAGGATGCTGGTTTGATGATTTCCTAGTGCACAGATCTGGGTGGTCACACAGCCCTCGATGGGAGCTGAGGTATTTTGGGGTAGGGAAGACTCCAGACAAGGGTTTTGGGGAGTGGCTGCTCCAGGCAGGAATGACTTGACTTACCTTCCACTTGCTCTTCTTGAGGCATTTGAGCACTTGCTGCAGCTGGAGCTGGTGAAGCCCCTGGAGAGACCCGGCGTGCGAGCGCAGCGCGAGTTCCTGCTCATGAGGCTGCAGCTGGACAACAAGCAGATCATGGATGCCCTGCAGGTGTACCCCAACTGCCCCACGGATGTCAAGCAGTGGGCAGCCTCCTCCCTCAGCTGGCTCTGAGCTGCTGGGGCACCACTGGCACCTCACCACCACAGCCTGTGGGGTGTAAGCTGCAGAAGATGGAAGGTTTGCCCACGGGAGGGTGTTCGGATTCGTGTTTTTGGAAGAAGCTCGTTTTGCTGATCAGTTTGGGATTAAGACTAAGCTGGTGTTACCTTCCAGGGTCCAGAAACGTGACTGACTCACTCACTCAGGTGGTTTAGTTCAGCTCTACATCAAATTCTCTTGCATACAGTTTTCCCTTGGAGAAATCCAAGCTTTTTGGACTTCTCCCTCTCCGAGTGCTGCTCTGGGGCTGTCACTTCTGCAGCACAGCCCATCCCTTTAAAGCTCACACTCTACTTTTTCCTCCTCAAATCTGACATGGAAAAAAATGACTCAATTAAATCTTTAATCACACCAAAATGTACTTAATTAAACCTTTAATCCCAACAAGCTCCAGCCACAGGTGGCATTTTGTGCCAAGTCCAACCCCCCTCCTGCTGTTGGCAGCGCTGAAGTGTGACCAGTGTCTCTCTGCACAGGGATGGCTCAGGAATGCTGACAGGGCCAGCTGGGAGCACTGCCATGGACTGCTGTCAGCCCTGGGGCAGGAACTGGTGCTGCAGCTGTGGCAGTGAGAGGTCTGTGCAGCCTGTTCTGCCAGGATGTCTTCATGGTGAAGAAGAGACCTTCCTGGTGTCTGCCCTGAGCACAGTAAGTGAGCTCACACATACCTTAAAGCCTTAGATTACCTGAAAGCAATGTCATATGAAGGAGGCTGCAGGATGTGGCATCAGCTGGGCAGAGCTGAAACCTGAGGGAAGGGTTGGAGCTGCCAGGGAGGTTCAGGCTGGATATTAGGACAAGGTTCTTCCCCCAGAGGTGTTTGGGCACTGAACAGCTCCCCAGGGCAGTGGGCACAGCCCCAAGGCTGACAGAGCTCAGGGAGTGTTTGGCCAACACTCCCAAGCACAGGGTGGGAATGTTGGTGTCCCTGCAGGGCCTGGAGTTGGACTGATGATCCTGTGTGTCCCTTCCAGCTCAGGATATTCTGTGATGAAATCCCAGTGATGCCTTCATGCTGGAGGCTCTCCTCTGCTGTCACACAAAGCCCCTTTGAGGCTAAGTGTGACTTGCTTTGCTCTCTTTGCTGATTCATAAAGATATTACACAGCTGAACATCCCGAAGATCAGCAGAGCAGTGCATGGAATAGAATCCTAGAATGGCTAGGGGTGGACAGGACTCAGATCATCTTTAGGGCCTGTAAGTGATGCCATTATTGCATACACATAAACTGTACACAAACAGTTGGTGCAGGTTTTCCTGCATTTCTCCAGGAAGCAAAGTGTTGATTCAGCCAACCCAACTCTGCTTTGTGGGAATGCAATTCCAGGTGGCCCTGTAAAATGGGAAGGAGGAGAAGTGGGACAGGCAGCTCATGTGGAAGGAGTTGCTTTGTCCATTCAGCCCCTTACCTCAGGCTCCAGCAGCCTCTGCAGGAGGAACTCTGGCTCCAGCCCCTGTGCAGGAAGACAAGTTGAACTGAGGCATTTGCAATCAGAGTAGTCACATTGTTTATTTTCCCGCTGGGGAAGAGGGCAGAGTATACATTTGTATTTGTACAATATTTAACAATCACTTTCTGGAGGGCAAGGGGGGGTTGGTTGGTTGGTTTTTTGGGGGGCACTTGCAGGAAAACAGCAAGTGCCTTCTGACAGTAGTACAACAACCTGTGCCCAAACACTGACAAGTACAAAGAGGAAAGTTAAAGTCATCATCGCTCACCAAACTCTCGAGAGGTAACGAAGAGAATGTGGTAAAACAGCTCTAAAAAAATAAAACCAAGAGGGAAACCAAAGCAGTCCTGCTGGTTGAGTATCTGAGGTAACTGGTGTTCCATCAGGGATGCTACTGGAGTCGGTTTGCCCATGGATGTGTATTGCAGCTTCCTGTGTTTTGTACCAAGTGTTCCTGATGAACGGAAATGTCTTCAAAAAAAGGCTTAAAAAAGCTGGAAAAGGAGCCAAGGGGTGACCCTAGTGATTCTGTCAGTGCTGCTGGGAGCAGGACAAGTCTCATCACTCTGGTTACATCTCAGTTAGCACATGGAAAGCTGGACAGGAAAACTACACCAAGTGGGTTGGGAATCTCCATCCCCAGGGTGGAGTTTTGGTACATGTAGTACAAAGTCGTGCAGGACACGGGACAGGAACTTCTCACCCTCTCACACACATAAAAACAACACCTGGCCCAGGAAGGGGCTCATGTCCCAGCCCAGAGCCAGCTGGGACTGTGCTCAAAGTTAGTGTTTCTCAGGAGCCACAGGACAGGGAGGGTCACTGCCTGCAGGGAAACAGTGCCAGGCTATTCCCAAACAACACCCAACTCCCTGGATCCTGCCCTCGACCCAAAGTGCTGCTCTGGCACCTCAACTCATTTCATGCTCTGCAGTTGGCTCTGGCACCACTGACCCTTCAATGCTCTCAGTGAGCATTAAGCTCTGTGAGAACAGCTGGGCCAGACCAGCCCTGGGGAGCTCATTTTACCAGCTGAAGAGCATTTTCACCAAAGAGCCTTTTCCCATGACACCACAGTATTACACTGTTAAAATCCAGGAAGGCCAAGGCAGGTTTGACCCTGAGCCCCCATGGCTCCAGGCTGAGGGGAACACGCATTTGGTACAACTCTTGGATCAGAGCTTGATTGCACATGATTAAATTAATTTACTCCATTTTTGCCAGTAAAGGATTCAAACTTTGGGAGCTCAGAGGCTCCTGGACTGGGGTTTGTTCAGAACTCAGCAGCTCATTCCTATCCTGCTGCCTGTGGGGAGGGACATGAAAATGGAAGCAAAAGGGAAGTGTCCAGCAAAGAAGCAGCACAAACTGGATCCTCTCCCTTTCCCCCTGGGCACAGATGGCACCAACAGCCACACAGCAGCTCCTGGGTGGAACATCAGCCCAGAGAGTGCTGACCTGGCTCTGCTTTCTCCATCACATCCCACTGCTCCAGAGGATGAATCCACACACATCCACTGATCCCACCTGCTGCTTCCCAAATTCCCTGGCTGTGGACACACGTGGAGAACAAGGACACACAGCACACCACGTGTCGCCGTCGGGTCTGTGCTCCAGGGGGTTCCAGCATGGATTGCACCTGGAATTTTGGGTAAAGGATCCACTAAACACAGTGAGACAGGACTTGGGAGGAGCACTTGGGCTCCCATCTGCCACTCACTGTGATTCCAACATCAGGTGTGACACCCTGAACTCCAACCTGGGAGCTGGGAAAGCAATTCCCATGTTTTTCCTCATTTTTTTTGGTGAGTCTGTGCTATGGATATTCGTTACCTCCAAATGGTCTTGGCATACTGTGAGCAGAACTGAATTATCCCTGAAATTGGTAACGTTTGGAATCTGTGGCCAGAAGTGTGAACCTGTGGATCAGAGGGAGTGGGTTGTACTCCATAGGATGGCACCAAGCTGTGAGTGCAGGGAAGTTGCACATCTCCAAGCAGAGAGTAAGGAATTGGGGATAACTGAGCTTCCTGAGGTGATCCTGAAACAGTGACACAGAGCCCACGTTTGGCAGGAACGGGGAACACGCGACCTCGGCACCAACATAAATAGCAAAAAGACTCGTTTGGAAACAAAAAAAAACAACAAGGAGCTTTCCAGTGTCACAGCTCACAGAAAAGGAACCAAAAAAAAAAATAAAAAATCATGCTTAAGTTCTCAAATATTCCTCAGACACAGCAAACCTAAATAGTCTTCAGTTAAATAAATGGATGAGATACTCTGGGAAACGGAGGGGAAAAGCTTTCAACTAAAAGAGGGAATTCTCTGTCAATAAACAGCACTTTTTCTCTGTTTTATACACAACAAGCTAGTACAAGGAAAGGCTAAAAACACTGCTCTAGGAATGGCCACTTCCAGGGGGCAACGGAGCTTCGCCCTTCTTAAATAACACAGGGATTGGGAATACATCATTTACAAAACACGGAGCCGTTTATTATCCCAATTAGTGTTGTCACTCATCATTTAGCCAGGTGGAGCTGAGGTATACCTTGTTGAGGGAGGTTAAGTAATACTTGGAAGCCTCTTTGCTCTATCCCACTCGGTTACTCTTGTCTCTGTACACGGAACAGCAGCACACGGAACATTCACAAGCTGTGTCGTAGTCGCATTACAATAGTCATTTTTAGAAACAACAGCAAATGCAATAAAAACAAGTTACCCTTTTTTTTTTGTTTTGTTTTGTTTTTGTCCTGTTGGGTTTTTCTTTTTTTTTAAATCTGAAATGAAATGTTTTGATTTAAAAAAAATAACAGTAGTTCATTTAAGGAATTAGTCTCTTCTGATAGGGAGTTTAAGCCATCGGATGTCAGTGTTTCGCACGCTCGTTAGCCCGGACAGGTCTGTGTTCTTCAGCTAAAGTTCCTTAATGCACGTTAGGGGTTCTCAGTCAGATGTCCTTCAGGTGTAAGCAGGGAATGCTGAAAGTCTCATGGATCCACGTTGGGGACAAAGGGCAAACAAAGGATCAACACCTCTTGCTGATGTTCCAGAGAGACTTACCGTTCGGGTCACCCAGACCGGCACCGACGGCCGCGCCAGAGCAGCTCCAGTGGAGAGTCCTGTGGTCAGTTCCACGACCAGTGCAACTATCATAGACTGGATTCTTTGGGAGGAAAGTCAACGTTTGTCACCATTGTGACCACAGTCACGATGTCCTCTGTGGTTATAATGTTAGTGAGTTTTTGCATCTGGATGATCCTCTCCTCCACACACCCCGCGGACAGCCTGGCCTCGGCGTCGTGATCCCAGCACTCCTCGATGGTCTCGCACAGCATCGCCATGCCCTGCAGGACACACACAGCTCTCAGGGGAAACAGCCTCAGAGACACCATGGGAGGGCACTGGGATACTGCCCAGGGAGGTGGTGCAGTCACCATCCCTGGAGGAGTTTCAGAGGTGTCTGATGTGGCACTGGAGGATCTGGTTTAGGGTTTAGGGGTTCCAGCAGTGACAGGTTAAGGGTTGGACTGGGTGATCTTAGAGGTCTCCTCCAACTCTGATGGTTCTATGATACTGGAATTGGAATAGGTTGCCCAGGGAGGTGGTGCAGTCACCATCCCTGGAGGAGTTTCAGAGGTGTCTGATGTGGCACTGGAGGATCTGGTTTAGGGTTTAGGGGTTCCAGCAGTGACAGGTTAAGGGTTGGACTGGGTGATCTTAGAGGTCTCCTCCAACCCTGATGATTCCCTGGCTCTAAGGAACACCTGCCAAAGCTGAACCCAGCAGTGATTCCAGGTTTGGGGCTGAACCTGGAGCATCCCATGGTGCCTCAGCCCTGATTTATTCCACACTATTTAAACCATCCCACAGTGAGTAAATCCTTCCTCCCCCCAGTGCTGCAGTTCTGGTGGTGAAGTTGTCATGGCATTTTAAAGAGCTCACACTGAGGTGAGTTCTTCAGCCATCAAGTGACACTTCAGTGAGAAGGAACTCTCAGCAATCTCTTCTCTCACCAAAAAACTGAACAGAAAGACTATTTTAAAGACTATGAACAACAGATCAGTTTAGAGCCCATTGAATTCCCACCAGAATTACTAAGCTCTTCCCAAGATCTGGAGTTTGGACACTGCACAGATGGACACAATCTAAAACTCAAATCCCTGGGGCAATGGGTTGGTAACACTCACAGAATGTTTCTGCCAACACTCTCTCAGGACAGGTCTCTTCTTTTTATGAACTACAACTTCCTGCATGTCCTCGAGGGAGGGATGTTGGCCAATCTCCTCTTCAAATGGCAGCATGTACTCGTCCACGGGGCCTGGAGAGGACAGAAACAAGGTAATCCACCAAAGCTGGTTCCATTAAGGGCAAATAAGAAAATGTTATGGATGTCAGGGCCATGATCAGGATCCCAACTGGTTTGGATTTCTCTGTGGATACCTGTGGGCTGCACCAGGCTCTCCTGGGAGAGCTCTGGACACACAACACCCCTAGCCCAGGTGAAACAGTCCCATTTACTGAGGGCATTTCCCTGCTTTAAAAACTGGACTGAAATTGCAACTTCCCCCCAAGTATTTTTCAGCTTTCTCCTTGCCCTTGGTTCATCCTCACTTGTTCTGAGCCCCTGAATGAGATCTCCATTTGCAAGACACTTGATTTCATACTGAAACTGCACTGGAGGCTGAACTTAAGAGCAAAGCAGATGTGTTAGGTGAGGAGATCCCCAGGAATTCTCTCCCTTACCATGACCAAGAAGGAACACACCAGGAATCTCACACGGGACACAAACCCTGAGGACACTAAACCCCAGTGAGTACCTGACCCTGGGGTTGGTCACTTCCCACTAAACCACCTCTACCACCACCCCCTGGTGACATTCCACTGAAAACATGGGATCACCTCCTCCCTCTCTGCCTCCCCAGGGAATATTTCCCGGGGTCCAGCCCAGTGCTCACCATCAGCCGCAGTGCAGCGCGACGCCAGCTCCCAGAGGACCAGTCCCATGGCATACATGTCTATCCTCAGGAATGCATCCCTTTGGAAGTTGATAGCACCTTCTAGGACCTCTGGAGCCATGTACCTGCGTGTGCCGACCTGGAAGGGAAGGGCAGGAGCAAAACTGGTACAGGAGCACCAACCCCAGCACAGACAGCACTGCAGCTGGGCCAGACACAGTGCACTGCACACCAGGGCTGTGCCTGCTCCTCCAGAGCAGCCAGGGCTGTTATTCCTTGCTCAGGACTGAACCTTGGAAGGTTCATTCCTTAGTCTCTGAGCAGGAATTAATTAAGTATGGCAAGACTTGTCCAAATTCTACAGTGAGGATGAGAGTAAGGGGGAAAAAGCCATGCAGTGAGTCTGAAGGGGAATTCCTGTTCACATGCTGTGTCATTCCTGGGAATAAATCCCTGTTTACCTGTCCGTGGGTGTCTCCTGCAGACTTCCCAGCTTCAAACTTTAAAGCTAGCCCGAAATCAGCAATGCAAGCTGTCAGGTTGTTTTTCAGCAGCACATTCTTGCTCTTGATGTCCCTTTCAAGTTAAGGAGAAAAACAATTAGGGATCTAGAACAGGAAATATCACAGGAAGTCCTAAGGAAAAGTAATCACAGAATCAACCAGATTGGAA